GGCAAACTTTTCCTGTTTCAAAATTTTCCTCAATTCCTGTCTGGTGGAATGAGTGTCAGCAGAACATGAACTAAAGGAAATTCTCTATGACGGAGCCTCAGATAGTTCTAATCCTGCTCCACTCTGTCCATAACTAGAAAAACTAAATTGACTTGACATACACTTTAAAGTGTTTGTCAAGCCAAAAACACCTTTTCTAGTTTTAGATAGAGTTGGGAAGGATACAACTCCTTTCAGGTTTTTAATGCGGGGCTTGGGTAAAGAGACCTACCCTCACTTCCATGGACATAAACTTACAAGGAACTTGCTGACCAAAGGATACAGAGGGATGGGTTATTACTCTGCTGCTGCTCATTCACTATCCAATCACAAGCTGAGGTCTAGGAGGTTACCTAACTGTATTGTGTTTGAGCTGTGTTGAAAAAAACGGCCAGGACAGCCCAAACACAGATGGTGTGAAGGAGCACTCCAGCATAAAACATATTTGTTATCAATAAAAGAGGATTATCAACTTGTACAACAGCAGAAGCAACAGATCATGGATCATGACAAAGATGGGCAGATCTCTGGTTGTCCACTGTTCTCATTGAGCAACTTTGTGTTTCTAATTGGGCATTGTTGGTTTTAAAGGAAACCTGCACTGTGAGAAACGTGATGACTCCCATTGCAGTCTTCCTACTGACAATATTAGTTGCCTTGCTGGTTCTGGCTTCAATTTTCTTTGAGTCACTGACCTAGAACAAGCATGCAGTTTTGGGAAGTCAGATCCCCTAATCTTCATTCTAAAGCTAGCCATACATGGCCCTGGCTGAACGAGAGAAAATCAAATGCTTCCCTCATCCATGCTAAACAGTTAAAGAAAGCAATCCCTATGTAAAAATAAATCTTCCTGTGCAGATACTGCTGTGAGAACTGCTGAGAACTGCCTTGTGTAGCAGAAGTGTGTCTTTTGACTAGCGGTTAGACAGGATATTCAGTAGCCTGTTTGGGAAATGACAGGAAAGGCTGCCCAGTGTATGTGTGAACTCATGGTCACGTAGGGTGTGAACAATTTGAACATATGTACAGAGATAAAGGAATTATATAGTTAACTATATTTAGAATAATCTCTCTTTCAAGCTACAATCTTCCAAAGCCACTCATTTGAAATCTGCAATACTAAGAAAATAAAAACATAGTGACGTCAATCTTTTATAAGGTCATCAATACTTTGCAGGTTATTGGTTTCTAATGATGACCTGATTTTTACTGATCTAAGTACTGCTGACAATCATTATTTTAGAACATAGGTTATCAGCTAGTACAGGTACATCAAGGGGTTCTTCTCCTGCCTAAATAAACTCATTACATTGAAACAGTAGTACAGCAGTACAGTGCTACTATTACTACATTAGAGTAATAGTACAATTAATACATTACTATTGTTAATATTGCTGTTGTTGGAATTATTATTATTATTAATAACAGTAATATTAATAATAATAATAATAAATTAGTACTATTAGTACATTAGTGCAGCAAATTGTACATAAAATTAACCAGAGGAAGTACTTTTGTAGTTGTATAAAACTCAAAGGATTCTTTGTAAAACAGTATTTCACACTGAGACCACATTGAAAAAAAATCCTGCTTGCTGCATCTTTGGTTCTTGTTTTTGCAAAATGAAATGCATATGAAAAGAGCATCTAAAATGCACCAAACTGCGACTGTAACATACTGCGGTGTGAATATAGGTGTACTTTTAGCTAACTTACACTTCAAAGGTTGGGAATTTAGTAAACACTTGCAAGAGCAACACTATTATAAGGAACACAGGCTGGCTGGTAGCAGGTGAAACGCTACATGCAGACATTTTCCTGCACTGGTAGAGCGAAGAATACACATGTTGTTAGAACATGCATATGTTCTTAGAATACGCAAGTTGTGCACAAGAATTTGCATGCTGTTTGTATGTTTGCACAGCAGTACTATCAGCTGAAGTTGTTAGAGTTAAGCTTGGTAAACATGGAGCGAATTTTGGCTGATTTAGCTGGAATTGGCCAACATTAGATCTGTAGATGGCCCTATCGCCGGCTGAACAGTGCTTGCAGCCAAACTGGTGCAATCACTTTTCAGGTATTCTGTCAGCAGCCGATGCTGCTGTCAGAATACACTGTATACAGCAGGATATGCGTTCATCTGCGACGTTAGCATGGATGGAGGAATCTGTCATATTTTTTTCCTCCAGCCTTGTAGGCCGAACGAAAAAAATATGACCATGTGTACCCAGCCTTAGATCTGATTGGCACATTCGGGTGCCATACTGAGAAAGTAATAGGTTCTTGTCAAAAAGGTTTAGTGCTGCTTTTGCTTACCAGTTTTCTCTTATGAGTTTAGCCCTCTACCCTTCAGCATCTTTTTAGAAATGTAATGTTATATAGCTCTCATAAGTATGTAGGTAGGGTTCCGTTTTATGTTATAGAAGGTAAAGCCTATCACCATCCTCCCAAAATGTAGAAAGATTATAAAAATATGTACCTGTCCATTCGTAGCTGGCAGACAATGCTTAACACATCCACAACACCTTCTTCCTTCATCTGACAACAACCAATAGAAGTAGCAATGAAGCAGCCAGTTCTTCCAATTCCAGCACTGGAATAATACAACAGTCAGTTAATTGTTAAAATATAAAAATCAAAAGTAATAAGTTAAGAGAAAAGTCAGGACTGAATTGGAAGCTTTAGTCTTTTAAGGCCTCTTGTAATAGTAACAGTGACACCTTCACTGTGCTGTACAAAGCCTGTGCAGAGAGCACAGCAGTGGACCTTGCAGGCCCCACCCACTACAGGCTGCCTGCAGAACACTACAGGAGGGGGCGTTGGCAAGACCGGTCACCCTGTACAAGGAGAGAGAGCAGCAGTGAATGGTCCTCATTACAGGAACTCCTGCACACAAAAACATTTTCAGACTGGATTACAGATCTGGAAGAAATACACAAAGCACACAAAGATTCAATTAAGAATACAAATAACTCCTGTATTAAGCCAATAGTTGCTTATCCCAGAGATCAGCTTTAAAATTAATCCGATCATTTTCCTGATCGTATTGCCCACTGAGGTGCATTCATTGGACAGGAGGTCAACAGGTGGATGGGTGTTAACTCAAGTGGTTGGGCTTAGGTCTAAAGTCAGGGAAGACCTTTCCTTAGTAACAAAGTGCAATCAGGAATAGAGAGGCACATAGACAAGAGTTTCCAACTAAACTAATGGTAGACACATTGTAATGACTGTCCCTAAAGAATGACTTTTTTTTCTGGAAATCATTAAAAATGGATGACTTTCTTTCAGTTATACAAGGATGTACACGCTGCTCTTATTTTCCTAAAAAGACATTTTTTTCTAGACGTCCGATGTTTCCTTAGTACATTCCAATCAGTCTCCTGAACAGGAAGCAGGCCTTGTAGAGGAAAACATCTTACGTGTATAGTCAGGATACAAAGTAATTAGAGGTCATACACATGAACTCCTTTAGGAATGTTATTTTTATACGTGGGGAACCAATAGTGACCATATTCCCTGCCAACATTTGTGTTACAGGTATACAGGTTTTATTCAGCATGCTCTTTGTATAATATATCTATTATTAACGTTGCTTTATACTTCTTTTTCATTTTTTTTGTTCTGTTTGTAAATAAAGTGAAATTCTCCAATCATGTATTAAAGTGTTGATTTATTTAGTTGAAGTGGCTGCTTAAATAGTCGATTCCCAAAGGCTCAATTTACAAAGCTTGAACACCTGCCTATGGAGCTCTATTTACAGCCATGCAACTGAAATTTCCAAATTGAATTGGACTCAACTAAAAATAACTTTCACCTTTTTCAAAATACGGACACCTATCCTGGTGTGTTACCTTTGTGCATTGATCCAAACATGCAATATGTACTGCGCCTATTCAGATTGGTGATTTTTACTTGCTCGTTCACATTAGCTGTATAGTAAATCACTACGCTTTTACCGTACAGCTAGTGTCTGCTAACCTTGGAGCCTTGTGTTACTTTTTTTAACGTTATTTGGAGTGTACAAACTGGACACACCATTCAGGCCCCCATGTCTGCATTTTTTTGCAGGGCACCATACTGCAGATCACCCTTGCATTGTAGTGTGAACAGGGCACAGAGAAAACAATTGTTTTCTCTGTGCCCTAGCTGTGACTGGCATTCTTCAGTTGCTGAAAAACACCAGTCAAACCCACAGTCACTGTTAACAAGCATTCAAGTAGAATTCCAGCCCCAAATATTTTAGCCTGTGGCCCTGTTTACCTTTATTTTATGCCCCATAACAGCACCTAGATAGGAAATGGGAAGTAATCTCCCTAAAAGTTTTATGGACAACACTAAAAACCTGACAGAGGATGTATCCATTCCTCATTCAATCCAAAGCTAAAAAAAAAAAAGTTGTCCTGCTGTTTTAAAGCTAAAATACAGGTCTTCATATGGTTCAACCCGGTACTATTAGTAATGAATTGTAACTGATAAATGACTTCTTACCACTTAAATTGTTTCTGCTGAGAGCAGAGCAACCTAAAGGATTTGTAGTTTTTGCACTTATAGTCTACCCCATTCCCCCAGATCTAAAGTACCTAACTCCCCCCAGAGGTGTAACTAGAAACCCCAGGGCCCCCCCACCCCCAATAAAAACATGATTTTGATACCTTTTTTTTTCTTCTATTACATGAAAAGTATGTTTTTTTCTTTTTTCAGGGGTAGTTCACACCAGCTCCAGTGTGTTCAGGCTGATTTAGTGCTGGAACACACTGGATTGCAACCCGTCCAGCCCACTGCGTTCTGGGGTGGGGGTGGGGGGCGTGGCGGTGCATTAAAGTCAATGGCACTGCGGTGTGATCGCCTGCACCGGAACGCATGGCAAATCCGGTCAGAAAAAATAGTGCATGCAAATGGAGTTCCCTGACTGGCCACCCCCCACTACAGCGTCTTCCCCATCCCTCTGTCTGAACTGCGGTCCGCAAGTGTCAAAAACACTGCGTGTGGCGGGCCCTCTTCTTTCTCCCTGGGCTCCCCCCAACTGGCCGAACACCAGGGCCCAGTCACAAATGCGACCGCTGTGACCCTGGTAATTTTGCCTGCGCTTAGTATGGGGCATTTTCACAAGTACATGTGAAAAAACCCAGTATTGGCACTGGTGCATCCCAACTTACTAATATAATGTATTGCTGGGATTTGTAGTCCTGCATAGCTGGTGGTATTCTGCATTGCTGTATAATGATTATACAGCAATGCAGAATACCACCAACTATGCAGGACTACAAGTTCCAGCAATGCATTATAATGTAAATAATACCAGCTTTTTAACCCCCCCCAAAAAAAAACACACACACATTTGTGCATCCCTACTTAATAATATAATGTATTGCTGGGACTTGTGTTCCTGCATAGTTGGTGCTATTCTGTATTGCTGTATAATCATTATACAGTAATGCAGAATAGCTCCAACTATGCAGGACTACAAGTCCCAGCAATACATTATAATGTAACTGATAATAACAGCTTTTAGCCCCCTCCCCCCCCACACACAGGTGCATCCCCACTTAATAATATAATGTATTGCTGGAACTTGTAGTCCTGCATAGCTGGTGTTATTCTGCATTGCTGTATGATGATTATACAGTAATGCAGAATAGCTCCCACACCGGACTTACCTGACTCCTACAGCCGCTCAGCTTCCTCGTCTTTGGCGGCCAGGGGGCGGGGCCGAGTGAAGAGGGTTCGTCCTCTCCCAGTCCCAGCTGAAGAATGTGCTGCCTGGCGGCGCCTGCTGTGTCGGTAGCGGCCCCGTCAGGCAGACAAGTGACACACAGAGGCGTCTCTCTATCCCGCACAGCCGCTCATACATGCAGAGCGGCAGGGGATCAGGGGCTGTATTTGACCTAGCAATACTGGAATTTTGATCAGGTTGCCAGGTCATTATAAGAATTGTTACATCTTCAGAATTTCTTTTCCAGAGATGTACACAAAGTGCAGCCTTATTTGCAAAAATGAAATACTAAATAAAAACACCCACACCATAGAAAAGGTTCTTCATTAAATAAATAATGTCACCGATGTAACCCCAACATCACAATCATAATGAGCGACACGCTGGTGACTCGCTGCAATGATGGTGCTGCCACATCACTTCTCCCATCACAAATGACAGTTCCGACCGACTGATGAATGTCAACAAACTTCCCAGGGATGCTGGGTGGCATCGCTGACTGCATATGGTCATGACCATATTTTGTAAATATTGTCACCTGATATCCCCGTTTTACAATTTGAAACAATCTGGTGGTAAGCTGTCATTTAGTGGCAGTAGTGATACCACCACTAATTGAATGACTTCTGGCTGCAGCAGTCAATGGTTCAGGTTGGCAGACCAACTGCCCAAATCTAGTCATTTTGTTTACCTGCTTGCCTAAATGTGAAACTCAACCCCAGAGGTAAGTTTGGTCAGTGGGGTCACAAGGGGGTGTGGCCCGCACCCGGGTGACACCAAAATGGCTGACAGTCATTTTGGTGTTACCCCTCTAAAAAATTGGGCACTCGGTCATGGATCGAGAGCCCGACATTGTCAGAAGAGAGGAGGGGACCCGACGGCATACCTCATCCCGCTGGGTGAACGTCCCCTCCTCTTTCTGCTGGCGTTTAAAGCTAAGATGGCGGACCATGCATGTGCGATGACGTTACCTTGCTGCAGTATCCGACAACAGATAGATGTAATGGAAATTAGGAATGTGAACAGGATCAATTACCCAGGTATGAAAGCATTGCTGCAGTAGCTCCTTTACAACTTAGAAGCATTCTCTCTCTTAGCCTGTTCATTTAGATTGTATGCCCTTAGGGGCAGGGCCCTCCTTACCATCTTGTCTTGAATTGTATTGTAACTGTAATGTCTTCCTTACATTGTAAAGCGCTGCGCAAACTGTTGGCGCTATATAAATACTATGTAATAATAATAATAATAATTGTAAATTCATTTTGTCCAATGTCATGTCACTACTGACAAATAGCAATGAGAGATACTGCAGCATCACAGAGGCTGAGCTGCCAACTGGTGTAACGGGTGAAGCCCTGTACAGGCTACAGTCTACGATAAGACTGATCCTAGGGGGGTAAATGAAAGTGAATTCTGACAGGCAAGGTGGAAAGCCTTACTCCAGACTGACTATGGTGTCAAATACACTTTTAATAAAATTATAAATGTAACATTTCAGTGATAGACATCCCCATGTTTTTTTTCACCCAGTTGGTGGTTCATCATGTACGGTCATTTGACAAAACTATAAGCCTTGCAAAAGTGAGACTATAGTACTCTGATTTGCAGAAGTCCTCACATTACTGAGTGCGTCAGTATCCTGATTTATGTTAAAACATTTAAGTGTGACCTTCTTTATAATTATCTGCAATATCCTGGCACAGAACAGTCCAAAGCTCCCACTTCCTCACAGCTTTTTACTATAGGTTGAAACTTTAAAGAGAAGGCACAGCAAAAACTGATTCCAAACTGCTCTGTACTCAGCAAATACAGATACATTTATAAAGTCAAATAGATTTTTAGATTGGAAGGGAAGTAGGCTGTCTGCTTTCTGTTATAGTGTTCCATCTGCAATTGCCATCTGCAATGTTATGCTGCATGAACTTATGGCAAAAGTCAGAGCGGAATCCCCAGTATCCAAATCGTATTTCCCCTGTGTCTAAAGTGTTCCATTAAAATGCAGACTGGCATGAAAAAAAAAGCAGTATAAAAAGCCATTTCCTTACATTTACTAAGCAGCTTGAGTGTACTAAAGATTAATATGTGAACCATACAGATAATGCAGCACAGACTAGGATTGCTACTGTCAGGGTGTCTCCTTACAGTGATCAGAAACAGTTATTAGATCTAGTTAGATGTATTTTTTCACCAATAGACTTCTTTTTACAAATGCAATACAAAATAAAACTGATGTACAAAGCTCAGTAAGTAAACCAAAGATACTAATTTTTTTTTCGCACTGCTGAACTTGAGGTACAGCTAGAGACACAAAATATGTGCTGTAAAACCAAGATCAATGCTATTGTATACTTTTGTACCTGCATATAGACAAGTGTTGCCCATATGAGTACCAGCATGGGGTATTGGGATTGTCTGTGCTAATCTGTAACAGTTGTAGGGTACATTGGACAGTGCCTGTGCATCTCCAGCATTTAGCTGTGCTTAGCAACTCTGAAGTAAGCTTTTTAAATGCTAACTATAGTAATCACAAGAAGCAGCAGCAGTGGCGTCACAAGGGGGGTGCGGCCCGCACCCGGGTGACACCATTGGAGGGGTGACACCAAAATGACTCACACCCCCCTCTGAAAAGTCAGGCACTTGGTCATGGACCGAACGCCCGACAGTATCAGAGAGAAGGGGACCTGGCGGCATACCTTATCCCGCCGGGTGACTGTCCCCTCCTCTCTCTGCCGGCGTCCATCACCAAGATGGCCGCCGGCAGGTATCAGAATACTGCCGCGCGTGCGCGATGACGTCATGCGCATGCTCAGTGATGTTTCGTCGGGGTGACACTTGGTTACCGCTCCGGGTGTCACCCAGCCTCGGGACGCCCCTGAGCAGGGCAGCCATCAGAAATTTAGGGGACCATTACACGGTTTTAGGCCGGGCCCCCCCGAGCGCCGCTGGACGCAGGGCTTAGTGACGTGTTGGACGCAGGGCATAGTGACGTGCTGGACACAGGACCCACCTGAGAGTGACCCTGCAGAGCCTACCATAGATGCTCCACAGCCCATCTGAGACTGTGAATGGTGGGCTCTGAAGGGGTCTCAGGTCGGCTGGTCAGGGCTGCATCCCTCCCCTCCCTCCTTTCCTTCCTTCCTAGCTCCTCTTACCTGCACACATGGCCTCGTCTGCCAGAAGGGCCAGGCCTCCGCCTCCTCGCCCTTCACCGTCGGCCGATAGTCATGTAAGGGACCAGGGTGGGCCCCCCAGGCTGCCAGGGCCCCTTACATGAGTATCGGCCGTACTCCCCAGATGGCTGCCTGCCCCTTGTGCAGCAGGTCTGTAGTATAGATTAGTATTTAAATTTAATGCTAGAAGCAATACAGAGCAAGTGTATATATTCACATTTTGTCCACCTGAACAGGTGCATTTCAGACAATGTTTTTAGATGTGTTCAGTGAGCCCTGTAGACACCTATAGACAGTGTTTAGAAGGATTGATCCAGCAAACAATATCAGAGCCCAACTAAAACTTCCTCTGCGATCGCTTTCTTTAAGCACATCAGTGACATCCCCAGTTTTTATTTTAAGATATCTGCAAAATATCTATGTTAAGCTGGTCATACACAGATAACACTTTGTCCAGTTCCTGCTGAATTGGCAGAAATTCAACCTGTGGGTGACACATCCAACTTGACAAAAGCCATTTTCTGAATGTCAAAGTAGTCGATTGGAAAATTGTTGGCTGAAGAGTGACTCCAGCCAATCAGCTTCAGTTACTGTTTAGATATTCTAACAGCTGTCAGAATACAATAGCAGAAAGGGGAGATTCTTTACTCTACGTTAGGGGTCCCCAACCGGTAGTGGTCTGTAGCCTGTTAGGAACTAGGCTGCAGCCGCAGGCAGTCTCCTCAGTGGTCCACCGCCTGCTGCACTTTATTTTTTCTTCTGCTCCTCTGGCCCCACGACCTTGGGGACAGAGATGGCTCTAGTAAACAAAAGCTCCCAGTCCCCAGGTCAGGTGCTCCCACATCCATTCCTGAAAAAGTCCCCTCTCCCTGGGCCTCCTTGCTGAACTGACAGCAGGAGAGAGGTGACTATTTTTTCTTTTTCGGCTGCTGTGGAGGAATATCGGTGCTCTGGCAGCAGATCATTAACTTGAAGTTCCAGACTTCATGGGGCTCTGTTTGTGTGGATTGATCTGCTGGCTCTGGCCGGGCATTCTGACAGCGGCCGGCGTATTGATGAGACTTGTAGTCCTTTATAGCTGATGGTATTATTTTGCATTGCTGTGTGTATTGATGGGATTTTGGGGATATTTCATTATATATTACAATGTAATAGTATTAGAAATAAAGTGCACAATAAATGCGCTTGAATCATCCTGAAACCTTCACCCATTCAATCCCCCGCTCCGGTCCGTGGAAACATTTTCTTCCTGCCAAAAAGGTTGGGTACTGCTGCTCTACACTTTTTAGTATGGATGGAGGAATCATGTGATTTTTCTCATTCAGCCCTGTGTATGGTCAGCTTTAGAGATGTTTAAGGAAAGTTTCAGAAACAGTTTGAGAAAAAGTTTGAGTCCTAGACAAACTGATGTTTCCTGACACCTGCATATACAATTCCTAAAATGACACTATACTCAGGAGTTAAATCCTAAAAATGCATTCAATTACAATAACTATTAACAAAAATGAATCTTATTTGTGTATCACCTGGCTGTAGTTCCTCCAATCGTCCCTGAATTCATACTGACACTGTCCTTCTTTCTGGAGGGTGACTACTTTTGCTCCTCATGGTTCCTGTGTGTGTTGTAAAGTAGTCACTGCTCCAAGCTCACTCCTGTGATGGACTACAATCTTACATCTTGTTTACTAATTTGTATTGAGATTGAAGTCCATCATGGGAGCGAGAATGGAGTGGTGACTACTTTACAACAGACACAAGGACCATGGGGAACAAAAGTAGTCACTCTCCAGAAGGAAGAACACCAATTCAGAGATGATTTGAGGATCTACAGCCGAGTGATACACAAATAAGATACATTTTTGTTAATAGGTAAGGTACAATGTACTTGGTACATTTTTAAGCTTTAACTCCTGAGTTTAGTGTCACTTTAAGAGTAGAACTCATTCTATGTATCATAGAATGTATAACCCCTTACTTGTTTCTGGTGGCAATATTGCAGCCCTTATCACTAAAATGGGACATAAACCAGTATGTGTAACCTAATTTCATACATGTAATCATTCATAGTGGAGATTCAGACTATTTAGGAGCAAAAAAAAGGATTACTGAGCATTACCTGCAGTGCACTACCACAGGACCTCTGCCAGCAAACATTTTTCTGTCATCTTGCACATCCAGCATAAGTTGAAGAAGAGGCTGAGCGCTGTCTGGAGTCTTGTGATCAGGCCAGGAGGTGTACCAGTAATGTTTAACAATTCGTGACTGGCTTCCTTGCTGGAAAGAAAATCGCCTTTAGTACACAACTACACATAAACATACTGTTATTTTGGAACTACAATCTACACAGCATACAATAGATATGATATATTATTTTAACTATAGAAGTCATTACAGTTATTGGAAAGACAACTTTACATATCCATCCCAATTTTTAAGAGGAATCTACCTTTTTGCACATATTTAGGACTTGATTTTCTGGAAGAATACAATGCATAAATTAAGTGTCAACAGGGAAGGTCCATGCAAAACTTGGGGGTGAATGCTGGTGGGTATAAACGCCCACATTTTATATACCTGTTTGGCCCTCCAGTAGCAGGATTGGACAGCTGGAATTTCCAGTCTGCTCTGCCTTCTTCTTAATGGAAAATACATTTACATGGCTGTAGATATCGGGCAGAGGGGGAAACTCAAGCATTGAGATCTTGCTCCCGGAGTATTGAAGCAATAAAGGAAGAGTAAGGGTAACTCAGCAGGCCAGCACCTCTGAGAAATTGTGGGTGAACTACTTGCCATGGGCAACATATTTATCTTTTGCTTTGATAAAAAAAAGCATTATTAAGCATTCTGAAATAAAATGCAATCATAGCACAATGAAACATTACCCATTTTTTACTCAGTGTCCTGCTGTTGCCCACCCCCAACAGGAGACCCTACCAAGTTTGAGTCAAAAGAACACAATTACATAACTTAAACATACTGTGTTGCCTTATGACATCAATTATAAGGCTGTATTTATCCCGTACAATATCAAAAATATTAATTAGATAATGCTTTACCTTTAATGTCAGAATCCGAATAGTATAATAGTCATGTACATTGACACTGTTAACAAGCACTTCAACATTTCCATAAATTCCTCTCTTCTCTGGCCAGTATAGAACACATTTCTGTACAGGGAAAAAAACATTTTGCCAAGTTATCAAACTGAACTCAGCAATAAGTTATTTGAAGTTATTCTGAACTCAGAAGTTATTTAATAGTGTAGTACACAGACAAATTATGAACAACTACAAAAACCATACAGATTAGGTTTCAGAACTTTAGGGTGGTAAGACTAATAAAATATGACTTCCATCTGGCTGCTATAGGTTACTGTACTGAATGCATATTAAAAAAGGCTATTTGTTCTCTTCTAGCCTTAGCATTGCATGTACAGTATATCCACAGTTCTGTGACAAAACAAAAATGTACTCTAGATTAACTACATTTGTACATTTGTAAAACCATATACACAATTTTCTTCAGATATACCCCATTTTCTTTTAACATAAATCCCTTTTTAACCTAGGAATCATTGCACTGTTGGTACCTAATGCACTTGATCCACTATTGTGCAACATAGTTTAATGTAAGCACTATATAAAATAATAACACAATATACACATTAGTCACAGTGTGCAACTAACCTGGTGATCCTTTTAACAAGATGAGATGTGGAGAGTCACTGGAGCTTGCAAATCACTTATAGGCTTAGTGATATCACTGCCTAAAAACCAGTAACAAGCTCCCTTATAAGGTGATTAGGGGGAAAGAAAACATTGAAAAGTTCAGCTGCCACCCATTGTGGAAATGTTCACATTGTCACATTATCTGATCTGCGGCCTCTACTCCTCCCAATGAATCTAAGGGAAATTATAAACATGGGAAACAAAGGACTAAAAATATAGCTTCACTATGACCAGCCTGTTCACTAAACTCTGTTCTGCAAAAAGTTTTGGTTTAAAGGAAAACTCCACTTTCATTACAAAAAAATAATATAGCATATACAAATGCTGCACAAGTCATTTTGTAATGTATAGGGGCTAGTACTGCACTGCAAGGGTTTACTGCTCATTTTCATCTAGGTACTAAATAAAAAAGTTATACTCACCCAAACCTCATAGCTGGCCGGCTGCCACAGAGCTCCCTTACGCACTGCAGCAATGGTATGTCCCTCGACATCTTCACAACCAATACACAGTGTATTAGACGTGATGCCTTGAGGATCCTTAGACTGCTGCAGCGGAGAGGGAGCAAGGCTGGAAGGATCAATCTAAAAGCAAGCCGTCTCCGAGGATTAGGTGAGTATAACGTTTTTATTTTAGCACCTAGACAAAAACAAGCAATTAACCCTTGCAGCGCGGAGATAACCCCACTTCAAGGGTTACTAAACGTTGTGCCCAAAGTTCTTCTTCAATGTCTTTAAAAATGACCTGTCAATTTCAGTTGTGGAGCCGTTGTAATTGTTCTAAAACTGCTCAAAAAATTTAATGTAATATGGTAACCTTGAGGCATTCTGTACACCAGGGGTAGCAAACCTCCGGCCCTCCAGCTGTGGTGAAACTACAAATCCTATGATGCATCTCTCTTCGGGAGTCATGTCTGTGGCTGTGAGATTCTTGCAATGCCTCATATGATTTGTAGTTCCACCACAGCTGGAGTGCCGGAGGTTTGCTACCCCTGCTGTACACGGTTGGTGAAAAGAATGCCCCCAGAAATGTAATTTCCTGCTTGTGTGATTGGCTCACTGATTGTCCCTGAAGTCTGCACTAAAACACAAGTAAGATTTTAGGCATCCCCTTCAATAAAAATGCCATTCTTGGTTAGATACTTCCAAAAGGGTTAATTAATCTAAAAGGATGCCCACTTTCCTTAATAGAACACTGAAAGTTCACCAGATGGTTATTATGAACATAGACCCTCCCATTCAGGAATCAGTCTGGAAAGGACATACTGCAACAGGACTAAGATGAACAGTACGTTCTAAGATGACCAGTACGGACTAAAATGACCAGTAGGGACTAATATGATCAGTACAGGCTAAAGTAACCAGTACAGACTGAGATGACCAGCACGGACTAAGAGGGCTAAAATGACCAGTACAGAACTATACACAGAACTAGCACACCAGTGCTATACACATACAGTACATAGTCGTCTGAAAAGTCTTTTTTTATAGTGCAATGTGCACATTGTGACTTTCTATATAGTAGAGCAACTCAAACCATCTAAGTCAGAAAGATTTGGACTCACTAGTTAGAGTACTGGATTCCAATTATGAGATAGAAGATAGTAGAATTTTACTATGTTTTACTTGATGAACTGAGGCTACGGTAACATTCACAATAATTGAGGTGAATACCAGAAGAGCAGGAAATCAGGTTAAAATGTTATTTTTATTATTTATTCATTTTTATGAGCAGTACCTCATTTTTTTCTTTGAGCTTGGTGATCATAACAATAACAGGAACATCTTCTTGCCAAACCATCTGCCAGAAGTCATTTACTGTATTAATCATTGGTCCTTGTGTAGCAATAAATGTCTTCTGTGTTCCACCATAACCCTGCAGTAAATCAAAGAACTTGTATTTAATTACATAATGTAAAACTTTATGACATTAACATACAACAAGAGAAACTCTAGATTTCATTGAAGGGAATTTATGAAAACTGGAGCAGACAAAATCTGGATCAGTTGCCAAGGGCAACCAATCAGCTTCTCTGTTTCATTTTAACTTAAAGTGACATTAAAGGCAACATTTTTTTTCCCTCCCCTCCATGTAAATGTTAGCACTTACCTTAAATGATGTCTCTTTTTCCGATCTTTCTCTTCTTTCCCCATGTTTTCATCTGTCCCTCCAGCGGTGTGACGTCACTCCGATCCAGCGCTGACTGCCCTGTCTCTCCGATCCAGCGGTGTCTGCAGGCGGGTGCACGCGTCCATAGACTTACCTTGCGTCTCTGCTCGTCTCCCGGCCGAGAATCGGAACTGCGCATGCGCCCGCCCCAAGATCCTTTGCGGCCGTACGAGCAGTTCCTGATTCTCGGCGCGGGAACGAGCGGCGATAACGAGGTAAGTTTTAAATGATTTTAAGCGGGTTTTTTTTTTTTTTACACTTCTTGCCTATATCTACTGCATGCTAGCAGTAGATATAGGCAAAAACAACCGGAGGGTTTAGAACCCCTTTAACTGAACAAACTGAAGAGAGAAGCTGATTGGTTGTCATGCACAGCTGCTCCAGTTTTGATAAATTCCCCCCATTATCTTCTAACATGCCTACATAGCAAGTCACCAGTATAAAATACTTAGGGGGTTATTCACAAAGCTAGCCGAAGGATCAGCTACAGCCGTATTCACTATAGCCCGTATAGATCTCGAAGGTGGCCGAGCGGCTTGGCCGAGCAGAAGGCATATGCTTCAGCTTGACTGTGCCGAAGCAACAGCCGAAGCGAAGGTCGGCCGTTTGCCTTGCAAATGACAGCTGGGCGGAGCCAGCCGAGATCTCCCGGCTGGCTTCGCCCAGTTGTAATGACAGATCAGCGTCCCCAAATGACCTGGGTGGCAGGTGCCGGCCAATAGGAAACAGTTGGGCGGAGCTAGCTTTCACTGTTAGCTCCACCCAATTTTTTATTATTATTGTACTTCAGCTCAGCCGAACATGCAGGGAATTAATAAGATTCACCATACTTTTTGGAATACATTTAAAGCGGAATTTTAATCTGCCTATGTTTTGCCTACACTGATTCCACATTTCCACCATTGTAAACATGCTAATAAAATGTTTAAATATAGCCTTTTTTTTGTATTTTTGACCCAGTGATCTCATCACTGAGTCTCTGTGCTTCTCTCTGCAATGCAGGCAGATCATGGGAGGGGCCAACAGGGTGCTGTTCATAGCTTCCTGAAAACATTCTAGCATTCTGCCACAGTACTCCCCTCAAGATCCTTCAGCCCTGATGCAAACAGTGGGCTGGATTTTGGGAGGGGTTATGCAAATATCAAAATGCCTTGATAAGTGGAAGTCAGTCTGGAGGAGTGGGTGTTCCCAGACAGAATGCATTTGCATGCAATCTGCCCTTGGTGATGCCCACAAGTGATGCTGAGCCTCCACGATTGAAAGAACTGCAATCCTATCAATAAAATGGGCAGGCCAGGGACAGCCAGGCATAGGAGCAAATGGCTAGATGATGCTTTATGTCCCCCAGCCAGGAAATGAGGTGGGATCTATCTGACTTGCTGCAACTTCTATTGAACACTGCTCAGAAAAATAAGAGTAAACAAGTTCAGTACAGTGAAGGAGTCTATTCAACTGTGCAAGGCTTAAGATAAGGCTGGAGTTTGGTTTTAAATTAGGCACCCCAAACAAATAAAACTGCACTCAGTATCTCCAACATAAAGCTTTATTTGTATCCTTAAAGTGACACTAAACTCAGGAGTTAAATCTTAAAGATGCATTCAAGTACCTTAATTATTATAAAAGGGGTATCTTATTTGTGCATCACTCAGCTGTAGATCTTCAAATCATCTCTGAATTGGTGCTGACACTGTCCTTCCTTCTGGAGGGTGACTACTTTTGTTCCCCATGGTCCCTGTGTGTGTTGTAAAGTAGCCACCGCTCCATGCTCGTTCCTGTGATGGACTACAAACCTCATATTTAGTTTACTAATATGTACTGAGACTGTAGTCCATCACAGGATCAAGCTTGGAGTGGTGGCTACTTTAAACCATAGACACATGATCATCCCCATCCCGGACCTCCACGATCCATCCTGGATCATGGAGCTAGCCAATTACACAATTTAAATTAGACAGCACAAAAAGTTGTAATTGCATACCTCTCAGTATCTCAATAATTTCAAAAATGAAACATTAATTTCATCCTTTGTGCGCATACATTGATTTTACCACGATAAGGACAACAACAACATGAACATACTTACCCTGATGAAATTAGCATTTATATAGGTGCTCAATGTATCCTTCACATTCTTTGGTTTCAAACACACTCTACTTACTGGATCTAAGCAAGAAAAAAAAATAAGAGAAGGAACACAAAATTATATAGTCCATATTCAACATAGATTGCAATTATATTTCTTCCTACAATATAAGGTATATATGGAAGCTGTTATCTGCAGACGTTTTTTAAACCTGTAAGTTCATTGTTGAAACAAAGAAAGGTTTTGATTGTCAGGCTTTATGATGTAACATTGTGTATACATAGATCCCCAGAAACACCCGAACCATCATCATTTATCCATGTAGACTAGCCAATAACTGGTATCTGGAAGTTATGAAGATACTTCAGTGCATCTTCTGGCAATATAACAGAAAGGCAATCAGAGCTGGTCAGAGTGCCTGAAACCCAAGGAACAATTATACTTGAGAGCTGGTCAGAGTGCCTGGAACCTGAGGAGCAATTATACTCAGGGGCTGGTCAGAGTGCCTGAAACCAAAGGAACAATTATACTCAGGGGCTGGTCAGAGTGCCTGAAACCAAAGGAACAATTATACTCAGGGGCTGGTCAGAGTGCCTGAAACCAAAGGAACAATTATACTCAGGGGCTGGTCAGAGTGCCTGAAACCAAAGGAACAATTATACTCAGGGGCTGGTCAGAGTGCCTGAAACCAAAGGAACAATTATACTCAGGGGCTGGTCAGAGTGCCTGAAACCAAAGGAACAATTATACTCAGGGGCTGGTCAGAGTGCCTGAAACCAAAGGAACAATTATACTCAGGGGCTGGTCAGAGTGCCTGAAACCAAAGGAACAATTATACTCAGGGGCTGGTCAGAGTGCCTGAAACCAAAGGAACAATTATACTCAGGGGCTGGTCAGAGTGCCTGAAACCAAAGGAACAATTATACTCAGGGGCTGGTCAGAGTGCCTGAAACCAAAGGAACAATTATACTCAGGGGCTGGTCAGAGTGCCTGAAACCAAAGGAACAATTATACTCAGGGGCTGGTCAGAGTGCCTGAAACCAAAGGAACAATTATACTCAGGGGCTGGTCAGAGTGCCTGAAACCAAAGGAACAATTATACTCAGGGGCTGGTCAGAGTGCCTGAAACCAAAGGAACAATTATACTCAGGGGCTGGTCAGAGTGCCTGAAACCAAAGGAACAATTATACTCAGGGGCTGGTCAGAGTGCCTGAAACCAAAGGAACAATTATACTCAGGGGCTGGTCAGAGTGCCTGAAACCAAAGGAACAATTATACTCAGGGGCTGGTCAGAGTGCCTGAAACCAAAGGAACAATTATACTCAGGGGCTGGTCAGAGTGCCTGAAACCAAAGGAACAATTATACTCAGGGGCTGGTCAGAGTGCCTGAAACCAAAGGAACAATTATACTCAGGGGCTGGTCAGAGTGCCTGAAACCAAAGGAACAATTATACTCAGGGGCTGGTCAGAGTGCCTGAAACCAAAGGAACAATTATACTCAGGGGCTGGTCAGAGTGCCTGAAACCAAAGGAACAATTATACTCAGGGGCTGGTCAGAGTGCCTGAAACCAAAGGAACAATTATACTCAGGGGCTGGTCAGAGTGCCTGAAACCAAAGGAACAATTATACTCAGGGGCTGGTCAGAGTGCCTGAAACCAAAGGAACAATTATACTCAGGGGCTGGTCAGAGTGCCTGAAACCAAAGGAACAATTATACTCAGGGGCTGGTCAGAGTGCCTGAAACCAAAGGAACAATTATACTCAGGGGCTGGTCAGAGTGCCTGAAACCAAAGGAACAATTATACTCAGGGGCTGGTCAGAGTGCCTGAAACCAAAGGAACAATTATACTCAGGGGCTGGTCAGAGTGCCTGAAACCTCAGGAACAATTATACTCGAGGGCTGGTCAGAGTGGCAGGAACCTCAGGAACAATTATACTCAAGGGCTGGTCAGAGTGCCTGGAACCTGAGGAGCAATTATACTCAGGGGCTGGTCAGAGTGCCTGAAACCAAAGGAACAATTATACTTGAGGGCTGGTCAGAGTGCCTGGAACCAGAGGAACAATTATACTCATTGGCTGGTCAGAGTGCCCGGAACCTCAGGAACAATTATACTCGAGAGCTGGTCAGAGTGCCTGGAACCTGAGGAAAAATTATACTCAGGGGCTGGTCAGAGTGCCTGGAACCTCAGGAACAATTATACTCGAGGGCTGGTCAGAGTGCCTGGAACCTGAGGAACAATTATACTCAGGGGCTGGTCAGAGTGCCTGGAACCTCAGGAACAATTATACTCGAGGGCTGGTCAGAGTGCCTGGAACCTTAGGAACAATTATAATCAGGGGCTGGTCAGAGTGCCTGGAACCTGAGGAACAATTATACACAGGGGCTGGTCAGAGTGCCTGGAACCTGAGGAACAATTATACTTGAGGGCTGGTCAGAGTGCCTGAAACCTGAGGAACAATTATACTCAGGGGCTGGTCAGAGTGCTGGAACCTATGGAACAATTATACTCGAGGGCTGGTCAGAGTGCCTGGAACCTGATGATCAATTGTACTTGAGGGCTGGTCAGAATGCCTGGAACTTGAGGAACAATTATACTCAAGGGCTGGTCAGAGTGCCTGGAACCCGAGGAGCAACTATACTATACTCTGGCTCTGTGCTTTTCCATCAGAAAGAGGTTGTCACCATAAGTGACTTACACCTATCATAAATTGAAAAAGGGGAATCTCCCCAGTAGGCGGCCTATAATGTGCTCTCTAGGTGGTATCTTGTGCCCTCACGCCTCTGCCACCTTCACCCGACCTGCTCTAACATATGCGTCAGAGGCTGCCAGGCCGTGGGGGATGTGATGCACATCTGGTGGACGTGCCCATTTGTGGCCAGATTCTGGTCTAAGATCTACAGACTCCTCTATTCCATCTTCAACATATCATTACCAAAGGACCCCTGGCAAGCCCTCCTCCATGTTAAAATTCCACAATTCACGTGGCCCCAATGGCAATTGGCCAATTACATATTTTTAGCGGCTAAACAAACAATAGCCCATTCCTGGAAGAAACAAGCCATTCCTGGAAGAAACAAGCCATTCCGATAACGCAATCCCTCATTCGCTAACCGCCCATCGCGCCGCGGCCCCCGGGTGGTGGTCACCACCCTTTCAGTTCTCCACTTTTCCCTTTCTTCTCTCTTCTCTTTATCACTCACCACCTCATTCTACTCCTCCTCTTGCTCCTTCAGTTGGCGGGATAAGGTATGCCGCCGGGACCCCTCCTCTCTCCTGACACTGTCGGGCTCTCGGTCGGTGACTGTCAGTCATTTTGGTGTCACCCCTCCAATGGTGGCACCCAGGCATTATGACATTCTGACGTACTGTTATGTCTTTTGAGCTGTAGATTGCGTTGTGGTGCATCTGGACAGATTTAAGCAGTATTCTCATTCTTAAATCAGTATCCATTTTTATATTTTGTGATTTTTTTTTTTAATACTATGAATTGATGGTGTATTTTTGTTATTTTGTTAAAACATGCTCCTTATTCTAATGATATAGAACAAAAATGACTGTCAAAAATTGAACCAGCAGGTAAAAAGAAATTGATGTATATCTAAAGTCAACACATTTTATTTTTATAAGTTTTAGATAGAGTTGATAAGGTTCATTGGTTGCTAGGACGCAGACAGATGTACCATAGTGACCATAGTGTGAAGTTTTGGGTCTGCCAACATTTTAAAAAACAATGATGTGGCTTGCGGCCCAGGCACTAGCATCCTAGCAACCAATGACTCTGTATGGGCTGCAGAGCATCATTGATTCCTTGGACACAGGTGGCCATGAGTTTAGTTTGCTTTGACGTTATTGAACCTGGATTTTTGGCTGGGTTTGGCAAAACCTTCAAGTGAATCAAACACAGGCCACTTCACTTCAGTGGCATCACAAGGGACATGCGGGGGTGCGGCCCACACTGACTGGACTGACAGTCATTTTGGTGTCACCCCTCTGAAAAGTCAGGCACTTGGCCATGGACCGAGAGCCTGACAGCTGTACGAGAGAGAAGGGGACCCTGGCAGCATACCTTATCCCCTCGTCTCTTTCTCTCAAAGATGGCCGCTGGCAGTTAGGTGCACGTGCGTGATCACCTCCCAGGGGGTGATACTCGGCAGCCACATCTGGTGCTCCCCGGCCTAGGGACGCCTCTGCTTCACTTATCACTACTGACAACAAGCTAAGGTATTTGCTCCCACTTAGGAGAGATTTCCAGTCCATTCAAAAAACGGCGCAATTTACAACAGATTTGTGTAACTGTTAGCAAGGTATATATCAGGGGTAGCCAAACCTCAGCCCTCAAGGTGTGGTGAAACTACAAATCCCTTCATGCATATGGCTCTGCAGTGGCGTAACAACCGGG